TGTGGTGTTCTCTGGACAACAGAATCGTTAAAACTAATGTCCCAAGTCTCACGATAGATGGTAGGAACGTCAACAGAGAGAGCAAACTGAAGTATCTAGGAATTACATTTGACAGGAGCCTGTCATTTAAGGACCATGTAGAGAGTGTTGTGACGAGATGCCATAAAAGGACTTAGTGCACTTAAGACTATGGCTGCAATTGACATAGAGCAGAGAATGCTTTTCACACTATATCAGCACCTGATCCTGTCAGTGGTGGAATATGGCCTGGGACTGCTTACCGTCTCAAAGAGTCAGATGGACAAACTAGAGCGCATACAGAACGTGGCTATGCGGGTCATTCTGGGTTGCACCAGAGACACCCCAGTGGTGTGTATGCGATACATCCTTGGTTTGCCGACGGTTGCAGGTAGGCACAAGGTGCTGCAGGCGAAGTCATATCTCAGGGTAGCTGCAGACACAGACCACCCTTCGCATGAAGCTCTGGGTGCAGTTAAGGGTCTGCGGCTGATAAGAGGGAGGTCATGGATGGCTCAGGCAGAAGACACAATCAGACAGGTTTGCATCCTTGAGAACATTAGGCGAGGAGAGGAGTGGGTTAAAGTGCCACCTGAGCAGTCGGACTTGTGTAGAGTCATAATCACGCTGAGCCGGGAATGCAGAGACTGGCCAGCAGGTGCCACAGAGGTGGAAATTCAGCAATTAAATCAAGATAATGCTCGCTCAGAGGATTTGATCATTTACACAGACGGTTCAGTGTCAAGAGGCAAAAGAAGTGCTTGGGGCTTTTTAGCAAAAGTTAATGGTCGACGTTTGGTGCAGTAGAGCCTAGCATATGATACCACAACATCCAGTTTAAGAATGGAGGTGGAGGCGGTCACTGCAGCTTTCCGCTGGCTAGAGAACACGACACACACACACATTGTAATTGTAACTGATTCAGAAAGCATGCTGAGGAAGATCAGAACAGGTATGCTTCGTGCAGAGTGGCATGCTTCGCTGCAGAGAACACGGGTGAGGAGTATTGTCTGGATTTTTTCACCGGGTCACGCCGGTGTGTTGGGAAATGAACAGGCGGACAGACTGACTGGCTCTGCACAACTTGGTGGAATATTGCTGCATGATAAGGCAGACGTGGTTAGTGCCTTGTGGGAGAACGTGTACAATGCGGAGGAGCAGATGGATCACCACAGTCTGGTGAGATTGATGCATTTGGGGGGGGGGGGGGGGGGGGGGGGGGGGGGGGGGAAAGAGAGGGTTCTGGCAGAAGCTCAAGGCTCAGAGGAAAGGCAAGACGGACGTTTAATCAGAAAGCTACTGGCACCATTAGTATCGGAACTCTTCGCTGGCTGCTTAAGATAGAGACGGAGCGCTTATGAGAATGCCCCGGGTGCTGTGATGTCGTTTCTTGAATCAAATCAAATCAAATCATGTCCTCTTCTAAATCAGTGGAAGTGGTTGAAAATAATTCTGGTACTTAAGGTACTGGTAGGTGATCGCCGTGTGGTACCGGACATATTGCAGAGGGGATGTTAGGATACTCCAGAGTCCATTTCTTCTTCCCTGAAATGCCTTTCCAAACTGGAGGGACTAAGCAAAAGTAACAGCTGTTGAGATGATCAGTGGGCTGTCTCCAGTTGCATCAGCAAGGTTGCTTTTTACCAGCCAACCACAGTTTAAGATTTGCTGCACTTGAAAAGCACGCGTGTGGTACCCAGCTCTTATTTTGATCTCCTTTTCTGCAGCGAAAATACAAACCGTGTGCTTTTTTTAATCACTTTAATTATATTTTGTTTTTGTGAGAGAGATATCACCTCACCATATACATAACAAAAGTTATCAGCGCTGTTCATTACCTCACCACATACTTAACAGAAGTTATCAGCGCTGCTCACACACGCACACACGGCATGTCTAACTAAGACAGTATCAGTAAAGACAAATACACTAGCTAATAACGGTAAAATGTTGTCAAAGATAAGGTAATTACACAAAGGTGATGTAATCAGAGGTAAGGTAATTACACAAAGGTGATGTAATCAAAGATAAGGTAATTACACAAAGGTGATGTAATCAAAGATAAGGTAATTACACAAAGGTGATGTAATCAAAGATAAGGTAATTACACAAAGGTGATGTAATCAAAGATAAGGTAATTACACAAAGGTGATGTAATCAGAGGTAAGACTGCAGCATCACCTTCAGGTTAGTTTTATAGGTCCTAAGAAAACATTAAACAACCGGCCAAAACAGATGCCTCATATATCTAATTTGCCTCTAATTAAAACAAGTAGCGTAAATCTTAAAAAAACTAGAGCCGTGCAACATTTTAAATGTCATTTTCATTAAGATGGGCTACTTTTATTTCTAGTGCATTTTGTTGTTGACTAGTATCAGTATTCTGTTTGTGGTTAGTAGTCTGTATGTGGTTAGTAGTCTGTTTGTGGTTAGTAGTCTGTGGTTAGTAGTCTGTATGTGGTTAGTAGTCTGTATGTGGTTAGTAGTCTGTATGTGGTTAGTAGTCTGTATGTGGTTAGTAGTCTGTTTGTGGTTAGTAGTCTGTGTGTGGTTAGTAGTCTGTTTGTGGTTAGTAGTCTGTGGTTAGTAGTCTGTATGTGGTTAGTAGTCTGTATGTGGTTAGTAGTCTGTGTGTGGTTAGTAGTCTGTCTGTGGTTAGTAGTCGGTCTGTGGTTAGTAGTCTGTGTGTGGTTAGTAGTCTGTGTGTGGTTAGTAGTCGGTGTGTGGTTAGTAGTCGGTGTGTGGTTAGTAGTCTGTATGTGGTTAGTAGTCTGTATGTGGTTAGTAGTCTGTATGTGGTTAGTAGTCTGTATGTGGTTAGTAGTCTGTGTGTGGTTAGTAGTCTGTATGTGGTTAGTAGTCTGTATGTGGTTAGTAGTCTGTATGTGGTTAGTAGTCTGTATGTGGTTAGTAGTCTGTGTGTGGTTAGTAGTCTGTGTGTGGTTAGTAGTCTGTGTGTGGTTAGTAGTCGGTCTGTGGTTAGTAGTCTGTGTGTGGTTAGTAGTCGGTCTGTGGTTAGTAGTCGGTATGTGGTTAGTAGTCTGTATGTGGTTAGTAGTCTGTGTGTGGTTAGTAGTCTGTGTGTGGTTAGTAGTCGGTCTGTGGTTAGTAGTCGGTCTGTGGTTAGTAGTCGGTCTGTGGTTAGTAGTCTGTCTGTGGTTAGTAGTCTGTCTGTGGTTAGTAGTCTGTCTGTGGTTAGTAGTCGGTATGTGGTTAGTAGTCTGTGTGTGGTTAGTAGTCTGTGTGTGGTTAGTAGTCTGTGTGTGGTTAGTAGTCTGTGTGTGGTTAGTAGTCTGTGTGTGGTTAGTAGTCGGTCTGTGGTTAGTAGTCTGTATGTGGTTAGTAGTCTGTATGTGGTTAGTAGTCTGTCTGTGGTTAGTAGTCTGTCTGTGGTTAGTAGTCTGTCTGTGGTTAGTAGTCTGTCTGTGTCTGTGGGTTAGGCGTTGCGAACGCGTTTCATAATACCGGAGTCTCGGGTTCGATCTCAGCTGTGGGCCTTGTGTTGCTTTTGACAGTGGTATGAAGAAGATTTTGAGGCATGATTTACTAGGGATAGTACAGTGGTGGTTTCCCCTTGCCTTCCGCCGGTTTGTATATGGTTTGACTCCAATAGCCTTTGCCTAAAGAGACTTACCCTGCAAGGCAGCAGAGGGGAGAGGTTATGGCGCCTCTTACCCGCCGATGGCCATGTCGATAGATTAAACTGTTAGAAAAATTAAACATTGATGGGAAAGATCTACGAATAATAAAGAATATGTATTGGCAGCAAACAGCAGCTATAAGAATTAACAACTGTTTAGGTGCATTTCAAAGCATAAAGAGGGGCGTACGACAAGGATGTGTACTGTCAACTGATTTGTTTTCAATATACAGTGAATATATAATGAGATCTTTAATTGATATGCCCGAAATTGTGGTTGGTGGGCACAATATAAACAATTTAAGTTATGCTGATGACACAGTCTTGATAACAACATATCAGAAAGAACTACAGGAAATGATAGACATTGTGGTGTTAGAAAGTGGAAGAATGGGCCCCAGTTTGAATAATGGGAAGACAGAAGTAATGGTGGTATCAAAGTAACGAATTATTCCTAAATGTGTAACAAAAGTCGATAGTGTTATTTTAGGACAAGTACAGAAATTTAAGTATATGGGCACATGGATAACATCAGATGGAAGGTGCATAACTAAGATAAGAAACAGAATAGGACAGGCAAAAACTGCATTTTATAAAATGAAAAACATCTTAAGCAATATATCCTTGTCATTTTTTTGAGAGTTAGAAAAAGAATTCTTGCTTGCTACATACATCCAGTTTTAACATATGGCTGTGAATCCTGGACAGTCGGTAGGCAGGCCAAACAATTTCTAGAGGCCTCAGAGATGTGGTTTTACAGAAGAATGCTTAGAATACCTTGGACGGCCAAAAAGAGCAACCAAGAGGTTTTCAAAGAGGCAGGAGCCCGAAGACAACTTATCACGGACACCAGAAGGAGACAGTCATCATTTTTCGGCCATGTTATGAGAAGAGGGAAAACAGAACATATTGTGACCACTGAAAAGATCTGTAGAAGGAGGGATAGAGGAAGACAACGAGAGAAGATGCTTGACAGTTTTGTTGCATGGCATGGAGGTGTATCTGCACCCAAACTGATACATGCTGCAGGAGATCGCAGATTATGGAAAGGCATGATCGCCCACGCCAGTCGGCAAGGCACCTGGTGATGATGATGATGATGATGATGATGATGATGAAGATGACCATCAAGAAAGCAGTGGCAAACTACTGGATGTAAATTTACCTAGAGAAAGCACAACAGCCAAAAAATGCTAAGGTTGGCTCTGCAACCTCCTGTATAGGATACACAACCAACTTATATGGTCTTATCGTGATTGATATAACAAAAAAATTGCTATTCTTTTTAAGTGAATCAGTGTTGTTTCAACCACAGTCTCGCTTTTCTCTTGCAGTATCTTAGTTATCTGTTTAACTACAAAGTATTCACTGAGTTTCTCTACAGTATTCTATCTAATGTCCTCGTGACAGTCTCCTGGGATCCTATGTCAGCAGATGGTTGTTTCAAATTAGTTTTGATCGTTGTGGAGGTCAAACCTGGTTGCGTTGGCCTCGGGTTCCATTCAGTTACTCCTGGAACACAGGCCCGACTAAGAGGGCACTCCTTTTAAATTTATATTTTAAAGACCAACTAAATTTTAAAAAAAATTATATAAAAAAAAATGTTTGTTTGAAAAATAATTTTTCTTAACTTAATTTTTGTTAAAGTTAAATCCTCCAAAAAATATTTAGGTAAAATTTTTTATAGAATTTTTTTTTATATTAGAAAAAAAAAAAAAATTAAAAATTAAAAAAAATTATTTCTTTTCCTATAATTTTTTTTAAATAAAAAAAAAAATTATTAGTCTTAAAAATATAAATTTAAAAGGAGTGCCCTCTTAGTCGAACCCGGGTTCCACGAGTAACTCAATGGAACCCGAGCCCTTAAGCCAGTCCACCACGACAAGGTGGGGCACTTCGGACTGGGGGACGCCACAAACATAAATAAACCGTGGCTCAAGGTATTTTTTTTTTTTTTTTGCTAAATGTTTTGGTTTCTTCTAAAAATTTCGTTTGTAAAAAAATTTTTTCCCAAAGTCTAATTTCTTTTTTTTTTTCCCAAAGTCTAATTTCTTTTTTTTTTTTTTAAATGATACCTTGAGCTGCCCCAAGGACCGGCCTTCAGGTTGGTCCACGTCTGGACCAGCCTGAACACGGTTAACACTGAGAGACGCCACGGGACCAAACAAACGTGGACTTTTTTCATTGAAATCGTTCTATTCAATCATCGTGTTGACGACATAGTGAGCCTCCACGTAGTTATCAAGTCTTTACGTGATTCTACATTGAGGACAGTGATGGAACGCTTCCACACGTGATGCCCCTTCCAATGTCGTTTTGACTGCCAGAATTATATTGGAGCGCCTGACAGCCAAAGGACCATTGGTCTCACCAACAGCCCCAGGTGCCGGGTAACGTCGTTTTCTCCCCCCGCGTTAGACGAAGATGCAAAGTGGACAAAAGACCGTTACTCGGCACACGCTTCGTCCAGGGGGCCTAATTCTGCTCCCGGCATGATGGCAGATATCATGTGCCGCAGCCCCCGGCTGCCGCTCAACGTCTTTTCATGCACCAACAATAGACGTAGCGATTGATAACACAAAGGACCGTTGAGTTGCCACAAACTTCCAGTCCCGGAGGTATTACTGCCGCCGACAAAGGCAAGGATGTGGCGGCCGGCAGCCGGGAGCTGCCAAGCGTCGCAGGACATAGCAGAAGGCAAAGCAACTGATAGATCAAGGACCACTTGTTGATATTCTGTTCACCACACCGGCAGTTTTTCGAACCCCCATAGACGAAGTGGGGTGCTATAGTGATTTGCCAATGGAACATCATGCTTCCGCGGCCAACACTAATGTAGGGTATTGACTGTGAAAACCTTGTTTTGGAACATCTATGACGCCTTCACTCCAGACTTGAAGATTTGGTTTGAAAAAAGTCAAACCGAGCGTCCATAACGCTGCTTTATCATATTTAACAGCGGATGTCTCAGAAAACTAATGGTACACGATTTCGGATAGTCTAGAACATTCTCGAAGCTTCTCCGTTGTTCAGCACTTCCGGTTTTATGTTTTTGTGTACGACGTATAATGATCATCATCATCATGTGCCATACCGATAAACGTAGGGCATCCGACTTGGTCACCAGAACTAAAGTATTTATGTCCTACAGCGCCACCCATATGGTTGTATCACTGTGCTTTTCCATTAGCTCCTTGGGTCCTTGTGTTTTCTGTGTATTACGTAACGACGCTGAAAAAAAGGAAGCTAAATTTCTTTCTGTAAATGAACGATCAACGAATCTTTAACTGAATGTCCAGTGTCTTGTTCTTCTTCTTCTTCTCTTCCACCTTGTACCTCATCAAAGTGTCGGGGAGAGATGTCATGTTCGTTGATGATGTTCTTCTTCTCTTCCATCTTGTACCTCATCAAAGTGTCGGGGGGAGATGTCATGTTCGTTGATGATGTTCTTCTTCTCTTCCACCTTGTACCTCATCAAAGTGTCGGGGGGAGATGTAATGTTCGTTGATAAGCTCTGTCAAGAGCCCTATTAAAACTGACGTTCATTTCTGTAAGGCTGTTCTTAATGCCATCACTCCATATTTCCGAGGTCTTCCACTCGCTCTATACCCGTTGTAACGTTTTAGTATGGCTCGCTGTGGCAAATAGTACCAGGACATTCTTGTTAAGTGTCCAAACAACTTCATTTATTGTTCTTTGATGACCTGTAAGACTGGCTTAATTACTATCATTCGTCTGATTTCATGATTTCGTATTCTGTCTTTCCTTGAAACTCCTGCAACTCTTCTAAGGAATTTCATATCTGTTGTCACAATTTTACGTTCATTGGAGGATGTGTGTCCACGTTTGGCATTGATAGCATAGTGTTGGCCAAAAAATAGTTCTGATAAGATTCACTTTAGTACTCCGAGGTATCTGCTTGTGTGTCAACAGGGGAGATAGTTGCCCCATTACTTGATTAGCGTTAGCACATCTCTGTCCAGTTTTCCATCAGATGTAAAAATTGCTCCCAAATACTTAAATTCCTGTTTGTCTCAGGGTGTTGTTTTTTAATTTAATTTCGAAATTGTCTTTATGTCTTCCTATCATCAGGAAGACATAAAGACAATTGAGAATATCCAGTTTAATGATGTTAAATATAGGTAAGGGGTTGGATTAGTTTTTAGAATTGGGGAAGTCCCTATGTTGGAAGATATGAATTCGACGTGAGAGAGGAAAAACGCGATATTGTGTGTTAGCTTGGGAACACAAGATAACTGGGGGAGTAGCTGAATGAGTCATTCTGTGACAGAGACCCAGAGCGAGAAGGAGTGAATTTTGATCCACAGCTGAAAGGAGTGGAAGTGAATCCACAGCTGAAAGGAGTGGCAGTGGATCCAGAGCTGGAAGGAGTGGAAGTGGATGCACAGCTGAAAGGAGTGGAAGTGGATCCACAGCTAGGAATAGTGGCAGTGGATCGTCTGCATCGAAACTATAGTCAAGGGCAGTGATGTCAGAACGGCCGTAGGTTGAGCATGTGTCACTGACGAGAAAGCTGAAATAGTCGAGAGGCGTTAAATAAGTTCTGGACATACAATCCAGAGGCATTAAATAAGTCCTGGAAAGGCAGAACTCCCTGCGATTTTCAATCTGAGGCCGACGATTTGAGCCGAACGAAACTTCCTACCAACAGTCAGAACCACTGTAACAGGGGTCTCCTCCAAATCATCAATGAGCAGCACTGATATGAAATCAACTACAGAAGGAGAGATCAATAGACTATATCCACACCAGAGTTGGATTCGAGTGTATACAGATGGCTCAGCCAAGAGAGCAGTAAGAGACGGAGGAGGAGGAATATACATAGAATGCCCAAATGGTTTAAAAATCAACCAGTCTGTACCAACAGGTTCATATTCCTCCAATTACAGAGCAGAGGCAGAAGCACTTCTAGCCGCATGTTCTTTCCTGAATGGACAACAGCACAGCAAATATAGCAGAGTGGTCTTTCTGACTGATGCTATGTCAGTTCTACAAGCAATTGTTAACCCAAAAGACACTCAGTTTGTAGACTTGACGCAACAGCTGATTTGCTTAGGCTCTTCAGTAGAACAATCTGTACTGCAGTGGATTCCAGGTCACTGTGGCTTGGAAGGCAATGAAATAGCGGACAGATTGGCCAGAAGCGGCAGTGACATGGTACAACCAAATAGCGACAACCCACCAAGAGATGAAAACACTAATACAAGCTAGTATCCAAGAAAGCTGGCTGGATACCCACACCAGATTTTCTCCCCAAGACTCACTTCATCGCCTCTCTAGAGAGGGACAGTCAACTTATATTCAGACTAAGGACTGGGCACAACAGATTTCATCAATATATGTTCACATTTTTTCGGTGTAGGAAATACGGAGACGTGTCCCTGCAGCGTGGCACCCGAAAATGCTGAGGTTGTGCTCCAACACTGTCAACTGTATGCTGACAACAGAGACGCAATCTGGCCTGTTCCAACCACAATGAAGACAAAACTGTATGGTACACGAGTGGATATGGATTGCACAATAGCTTACCTAAAGGCTACCGGCCTCCTGATATACGTTTTCTGACAGAAGGATCGAAGAAGAAGAAGAAGCGGACACAGTGACTGAAACTGGCTTAAGGTCACTCAGCGTGTTTCAGAAAGTCACACGATTTATCCTGTGACGTTGCCCGGCTCTCTAGCGTAGTTGGCTAAACCGGATTGCGCGGTGACTGGGTGACGAACTCCTTGTGGTCCGGGTTTACTCCCGGGGGTAGGCGGGAAAGCCATATTTCTCCCAGATTTACAGTATATACAATGGAATTAAGGCCAAAAGGTTGCGATATCCATAATACCGAGCCTAAGGGTTAACAATTTATGGCTTCTGGATACTAAAACAAACAATCCTGCTACGTGGGTTATCGTCGCCCGAAGAGACATTTGTGTGCGCCGGACTTTTGAACTCTGTGTTGGGTCCTACTTTCATTTGTGGTCCATTTTGGTTGTTGACTAGTTAAATCACATTATATCCCTCCCCTGCCTATATGCAAGAACATCATCAGTAAATTTCAATCTCCTTCTGACACCTGGTGATTCAAGTTCTGCAATCTTGCTTGTATACACACTGAAGAGCACTGGTGACATTGCAGAACCCTGGGGTAGCCCCGGAGCGATATTACATGGTTCTAAGTCCATGCATCCAGGCGACGGGCTACCATACGTGCAAGCAGGACAGCTGCTGTCCAGTCCACCAGCCACAGACAAACTCCCTTTTCCGTGAGCTCAGATATCAAAATATCATGTCTGACTCTGTTGTAAGCATCTTCAAGATCAATTGCTGACACTACCGTCTCCTGTCTGTTCTGGAAGCCCTCATAGACACCACAAGTAACACTAACTGCATTTGACCAGGCATCTTTCCTTGGCCGGTAACTATCCAAATCCTTTGACATGAGCTTCCCCCTTTCCAAAAACATTTGTAGTTTAACAGCAATACTCTTCTCAAGCACCTTGCCAAAATTATTCTGTAGGGTGATAATTCTACAGCCGCTGAGTCTGAAATGATCTTTGCCTGGTTTTGGAAGTGAATTATGTATCTGTGTCAGTGTTTGATCTGTACATATGAGAACACGTAGATTTGTGGTTTTGTTTTCTATTGACAAGACACTGTCAATGTTTGATCTGTACATATGAGTACATGTAGATTGGTGGTTTTATTTTCTATTGACAAGACACTGTGTTTGATCTGTATGTACGTGTACATGTAGATGGGGGGTTTGTCAATAAAAGACTGATGTACGCGTAGATTGCGGGTTTCTCAATAAAAGACAAATGTAAACGTAGATTGGGGGTTTGTCAATAAAAGATTGATGTACATGTAGATTGGGGGTTTCTCAATAAAAAACAAATGTACACGTAGATTGGGGGTTTGTCAATAAAACATTGATGTACATGTAGAGTGGTGGTTTGTCAATAAAAGACTGATGTACACGTAGATTGGTGGTTTGTCAATAAAAGACTGATGTACACGTAGATTGGTGGTTTGTCAATAAAAGACTGATGTACACGTAGATTGGTGGTTTGTCAATAAAAGACTGATGTACACGTAGATTGGTGGTTTGTCAATAAAAGACTGATGTACACGTAGATTGGTGGTTTGTCAATAAAAGACTGATGTACACGTAGATTGGGGGTTTGTCAATAAAAGACTGATGTACATGTAGATTGGTGGTTTGTCAATAAAAGACTGATTTACATGTACGCGATGCAGGTTACCGCACCATCGACTCTCTCTACCCAAAGTCTACAGTGCCACTGTCTGGTGGTGTTTGTGTGGGCTCTAGTGTCATGGATGAAGTCAAGACTCTCAATGCACTCAATGCTTATGACTTCTACGAAAAGGCTGATCGTATTGCTGGCAGAACTGCTGTACCAACCAGCAAACAGCCATTTGAAAACATGAGCAAACAGGAGCAGGTAATCAAAGCTGCATGTAATCAGTAGTTCTCTACCCTTGAATCAGCATTTTATTGCATGACAGATTTCTCTTTCATTATTATCACATCTATTGTATTTACTCTCCGCTTAACACAAACATTTTTCTGACATCTGTCTATCTTCTTCCTTTATCTTTCTCCTTCTCTGTTAGCTTGACAAACATTTTATTACAGCTCTCCATCTTCTTCCTTCATCTTTCTCCTTCTCTGTTAGCTTGACAAACATTTTATTACAGCTCTCCATCTTCTTCCTTCATCTTTCTCTGTCAGCTTAACATAAACATTTCATTACAGCTCTACATCTTCTTCCTTCATCTTTCTCTTTCTCTGTCAGCTTGACAAACATTTTATTACAGCTCTCCATCTTCTTCCTTTATCTTTCTCCTTCTCTGTTAGCTTGACATAAACATTTCATTACAGCTCTGTTGCGTTTGTGCGTGGCATCCTGATTGCTGTGGTGCGCCTCCTGGCTGGTTGCCTCCGACTTCAGCACCTTGTTATGCTAGAGTAGACTGGGGTCTTACCCGTGGACTCCCATGTTTATAATGGGAGCGTGGCTCCTATGCGGTTACATTATCGGAATTAGGACACGGCCGCCGCCGTGGCTATTTTGTGGAAATAATTCCGTTATCAAATCAATCAGAATGCCGCCGAAACTGGCACAAGATGATTACCATATTATGGACAGACCAGAGCAAGTTATTATCCTTCGCCTTAGAACAGGGCACAATAGACTTCGCTCCCACATGTACAACAAATTTAAGATTGGCCAATCGGCCATGTGTACTTGTGGACTGGCACCTGAAACAACAGATCACATCCTTCAAGACTGTCCCATATTCAACGCTTTCAGGCAAAACATTTGGCCAAAAGAGACACTTGTGGAAGTCAAACTTTATGGGCCGCTTAGTGAATTACAAAAGACAGTGAAATTCATACAAGAGACGGCTTTGCAGATATAGACAATTTATTTCATGCGAACGAAAGAAGAAGAAGATTACAGCTCTCCATCTTCTTCCTTCATCTTTCTCTGTCAGCTTGACATAAACATTTCATTACAGCTCTCCATCTTCTTCCTTCATCTTTCTCCTTCTCTGTCAGCTTGACATAAACATTTCATTACAGCTCTCCATCTTCTTCCTTCATCTTTCTCCTTCTCTGTCAGCTTGACATAAACATTTCATTACAGCTCTCCATAGTTCAGTGCTTCACCTTTCTCCTTCTCTGTCAGCTTGACATAAGACATTTCTCATTAGAAATCTCCATCTTCTTCCTTCATCTTTCTCTGTCAGCTTGACATAAACATTTCATTACAGCTCTCCATCTTCTTCCTTCATCTTTCTCCTTCTCTGTCAGCTTGACATAAACATTTCATTACAGCTCATCTTCTTCCTTCATCTTTCTCTTTCTCTGTCAGCTTGACATAAACATTTCATTACAGCTCTCCATCTTCTTCCTTCATCTTTCTCTTTCAGCTTGACATAAACATTTCATTACAGCTCTCCATCTTCTTCCTTCATCTTTCTCTTTCTCTGTCAGCTTGACATAAACATTTCATTACAGCTCTCCATCTTCTTCCTTCATCTTTCAAAACCAGTATTTTCACCCACTTATGCACCTCTATGAACCCACAAGTCAGTCTGACCCCAGGTAGATTTCATCCAAAGAAATGGGCTATGTTTACACACGGGTTCCTTGTGTGGGTTCAGGGGTCCCATTTTAGGGGAGACAAGAGAGTCACTTTCTCATAACATAAGTCACATAAAAGGTGATTTATTAGTAGTTTGCTAAAATCTGATGTTGGGTGAAATGCAGCAGATATCACAGCCTAGCTGCAAACCTCAACACAATACGCCAACCTCCTTTTGAATGTTAAAAACAGAAGAACCCAAAATACAGTGTACATTTAATCCAAGGCAATGGACTCAGCAATGATTTTAGGGCCAATTTTCCAAATCAAGTAAGTAAGCAAAGGATCCATCAGGTGTATTGGGCATATAGGGCTAGACCTCTATTCTATAGACCTATCAGCACTCGGAGGGTGATGTGGTCAGCATCCTGCCTTCCATGATTACTTCCCAGGACTTCATCTGGTACTCATTTGAGGTCAGGTCAACCTGGGAGCCAAGGTCATTTGTAAAAGAAAAAAATATATGGCACCGTCAGGACCTGAACACACGACCTTCAGATTCTTAGCTAAGCATCTAGCTGCTACACCACGGCGGCTGGCTGCTACACCATGGCGGCTCCTTTTCCAACTCAGATAGCTATGATCTCTCTGAAGTTTACACATCCATCCATTTTGGACAACATATTACGTTGTAACTATTGAGTGCCCTAGTACAGTGTACCCCTGATCAGGAACACTCACCCAGGACCTAAGAAATGGTTCTTATCAGAAATTCCTCTTGTCATGGTAAGAATCTGAGCAAGATAAATTGCAGAGAATAAAAATAATATTCTCCACAACATAAATTTGCTACATCTGAGATTTCTTGAGCGGTCTGCACTGTCAAACTGCATTATACATATGAACATAGTTTCTATAGTTTGCTGACGTTAGATTCCATCTGGATATCGACTCTTGGAGTCACTGGGTGTCATCTGGATATCGGCTCTTGGAGTCACTGGGTGTCATCTGTATATCGACTCTTGGAGTCACTGGGTGTCATCTGGATATCCACTCTTGGAGTCACTGGGTGTCATCTGGATATTGACTCCTGGAGTCACTGGGTGTCATCTGGATATTGACTGCTGGAGTCACTGGGTGTCATCTGGATATTGACTGCTGGAGTCACTGGGTGTCATCTGGATATTGACTCCTGGAGTCACTGGGTGTCATCTGGATATTGGCTCCTGGAGTCTCTGGGTGTCATCTGGATATTGGCTCCTGGAGTCACTGGGTGTCATCTGGATATTGACTCCTGGAGTCACTGGATGTCATCTGGATATTGACTGCTGGAGTCACTGGGTGTCATCTGGATATTGACTGCTGGAGTCACTGGGTGTCATCTGGATATTGACTGCTTGAGTCACTGGGTGTCATCTGGATATTGACTGCTGGAGTCACTGGATGTCATCTGGATATTGACTGCTGGAGTCACTGGGTGTCATCTGGATATTGACTGCTGGAGTCACTGGGTGTCATCTGGATATTGACTGCTGGAGTCACTGGGTGTCATCTGGATATTGACTGCTTGAGTTACTGGGTGTCATCTAGATATTGACTACTTGAGTCACTGGGTTTCAGACTTTCAGGGTGCACAAAATGTGTGCGACTCAGAACTCGCTGTCTTGTAAAAATTAAAAATTCCTGTGCACAAGAAAGGAAAGTAGTCCTACCATTCGTGGGTCGTCATGAGATAAATGCCAAACCAACCAGACTTTTTCAGTTCAGTTCAATGTGCCATTTGTAATAACAAGTTGTAAATAAAGTCGTCCAATAAAAAAAAAATATGTAACAAACTTATGTAACAGTTAAAATATAACAAAAGCAAAATATGTTAACCAGAAGTGATAAAATAAAATGCAGACCACTTATGGCGATCTCAGATGTCACGAATTTATGCTGTCAAGAACAAACTGTTTATCCCTCGGCAATTACCATATGCATGAAATCTGATCTGGATAAGAGAAATTTATGAAAAGAAGAACTATTTCTTTTATTTTTGATGAGTTTTCCTTATCAGGTCTGCGCTAAAGTCAAGTGAACTACTGTCAACGAGCTACCTAACTAATAGACAAGAACATATTTTCTGTCACAGGCTGGAATCAACATGACCTACCCTGGCAAGACGGAGTACATGCTGCAGTTCAAGGCACCTGATAGAGATGCTCCCACATCAGACTTCATCATCAACCCCAGCCCAGACTACAGCGTCTATGGGCGCCCTCTAGAAGCCAGCTGCTACCTGCCCTCGTCCACGGAGTACCAGACTCGCTACCAGTGGCCTGATGGAGGTCATGTGACCAAAGTGCCATGGCTGGTCAGCTAAACTCTGCCTAGACTGTTTCTATTGTTTCTTTCTAATTGCAGTTTTGCGGTCTTTGGCCACAACAAACAAGGATGCTAATTAGTACATTAAATTTAATTAATACACCTTTGCTGAATGTTTCATGGACTATTTCTACAGAGATTAAAATTTGTCCCAACTATAAAAATTATCCCTGAAGTATTTTGTGTATGATTTCTCATGGGGATTCCAGGACCCCAGTGTCGGGGGAAAAGAACAGACCCAATGACCCCCCCCCCCCACATGAGCATGTAATCAGAGAAATGGATTATAATGGATATTTTCTTTGAAGTCGGAGCGTATCTGCCTGATAGGCGGGGAACCAGTCCACATACAAATAATCCACATCTGTCTGATAGGCGGGGAACCAGTCCACATACAAATAACCCACATCTGTCTGATAGGCGGGGAACCAGTCTACATACAAATAATCCACATCTGTCTGAGAGGCAGGGAACCAGTCTACATACAAATAATCCACATCTGTCTGAGAGGCGGGGAACCAGTCTACATACAAATAATCCACATCTGTCTGAGAGGCAGGGAACCAGTCTACATACAAACAATCCACATCTGTCTGAGAGGTTGGGAACCAGTCTACATACAAATAATCCACATCTGTCTGAGAGGCGGGGAACCAGTCTACATACAAATAATCCACATCTGTCTGAGAGGCGGGGAACCAGTCTACATACAAATAATCCACATCTGTCTGAGAGGCGGGGAACCAGTCTACATACAAATAATCCACATCTGTCTGAGAGGCAGGGAACCAGTCTACATACAAATAATCCACATCTGTCTGAGAGGCAGGGAACCAGTCTACATATAAATAATCCACATCTGTCTGAGAGGCAGGGAACCAGTCTACATACAAATAATCCACATCTGTCTGAGAGGCGGGGAACCAGTCTACATACAAATAATCCACATCTGTCTGAGAGGCAGGGAACCAGTCTACATACAAACAATCCACATCTGTCTGAGAGGTTGGAAACCAGTCTACATACAAATAATCCACATCTGTCTGAGAGGCGGGGAACCAGTCTACATACAAATAATCCACATCTGTCTGAGAGGCGGGGAACCAGTCTACATACAAATAATCCACATCTGTCTGAGAGGCGGGGAACCAGTCTACATACAAATAATCCACATCTGTCTGAGAGGCGGGGAACCAGTCTACATACAAATAATCCACATCTGTCTGAGAGGCGGGGAACCAGTCTACATACAAATAATCCACATCTGTCTGAGAGGCAGGGAACCAGTCTACATACAAATAATCCACATCTGTCTGAGAGGCAGGGAACCAGTCTACATACAAATAATCCACATCTGTCTGAGAGGCAGGGAACCAGTCTACATACAAATAATCCACATCTGTCTGAGAGGCAGGGAACCAGTCTACATACAAATAATCCACATCTGTCTGAGAGGCGGGGAACCAGTCTACATACAAATAATCCACATCTGTCTGAGAGGCAGGGAACCAGTCTACATACAAACAATCCACATCTGTCTGAGAGGTTGGGAACTAGTCTACATACAAATAATCCACATCTGTCTGAGAGGCGGGGAACCAGTCTACATACAAATAATCCACATCTGTCTGAGAGGCGGGGAACCAGTCTACATACAAATAATCCACATCTGTCTGAGAGGCGGGGAACCAGTCTACATACAAATAATCCACATCTGCCTGAGAGGCAGGGAACCAGTCTACATACAAATAATCCACATCTGTCTGAGAGGCGGGGAACCAGTCTACATACAAATAATCCACATCTGTCTGAGAGGCGGGGAACCAGTCTACATACAAATAATCCACATCTGTCTGAGAGGCAGGGAACCAGTCTACATACAAATAATCCACATCTGTCTGAGAGGCGGGGAACCAGTCTACATACAAATAATCCACATCTGTCTGAGAGGCAGGGAACCAGTCTACATACAAACAATCCACATCTGTCTGAGAGGTTGGGAACCAGTCTACATACAAACAATCCACATCTGTCTGAGAGGTTGGGAACCAGTCTACATACAAATAATCCACATCTGCCTGAGAGGCGGGGAACCAGTCTACATACAAACAATCCACATCTGTCTGAGAGGTGGGGAACCAGTCTACATACAAATAATCCACATCTGTCTGATAGGCGGGGAACCAGTCTACATACAAATAATCCACATCTGTCTGAGAGGCGGGGAACCAGTCTACATACAAATAATCCACATCTGTCTGAGAGGCGGGGAACCAGTCTACATACAAATAATCCACATCTGTCTGAGAGGCGGGGAACCAGTCTACATACAAATAATCCACATCTGTCTGATAGGCGGGGAACCAGTCTACATACAAACAATCCACATCTGTCTGAGAGGTTGGGAACCAGTCTACATACAAACAATCCACATCTGCCTGAGAGGTTGGGAACCAGTCTACATACAAACAATCCACATCTGTCTGATAGGCGGGGAACCAGTCTACATACAAATAATCCACATCTGTCTGAGAGGCAGGGAACCAGTCTACATACAAATAATCCACATCTGTCTGAGGCAGGGAACCAGTCTACATACAAATAACCCACATCTGTCTGAGAGGCAGGGAACCAGTCTACATACAAATAATCCACATCTGTCTGAGAGGCGGGGAACCAGTCTACATACAAATAATCCACATCTGTCTGAGAGGCAGGGAACCAGTCTACATACAAACAATCCACATCTGTCTGAGAGGTTGGGAACCAGTCTACATACAAATAATCCACATCTGTCTGAGAGGCGGGGAACCAGTCTACATACAAATAATCCACATCTGTCTGAGAGGCGGGGAACCAGTCTACATACAAATAATCCACATCTGTCTGAGAGGCGGGGAACCAGTCTACATACAAATAATCCACATCTGTCTGAGAGGCGGGGAACCAGTCTACATACAAATAATCCACATCTGTCTGAGAGGCAGGGAACCAGTCTACATACAAATAATCCACATCTGTCTGAGAGGCAGGGAACCAGTCTACATACAAATCCACATCTGTCTGAGAGGCGGGGAACCAGTCTACATACAAATAATCCACATCTGTCTGAGAGGCAGGGAACCAGTCTACATACAAATAATCCACATCTGTCTGAGAGGCGGGGAACCAGTCTACATACAAATAATCCACATCTGTCTGAGAGGCGGGGAACGAGTCTACATACAAATAATCCACATCTGTCTGAGAGGCGGGGAACCAGTCTACATACAAATAATCCACATCTGTCTGAGAGGCAGGGAACCAGTCTACATACAAATAATCCACATCTGTCTGAGAGGCGGGAACCAGTCTACATACAAATAATCCACATCTGTCTGAGAGGCAGGGAACCAGTCTACATACAAATAATCCACATCTGTCTGAGAGGCAGGGAACCAGTCTACATACAAATAATCCACATCTGTCTGAGAGGCGGGGAACCAGTCTACATACAAATAATCCACATCTGTCTGAGAGGCAGGGAACCAGTCTACATACAAACAATCCACATCTGTCTGAGAGGTTGGGAACCAGTCTACATACAAACAATCCACATCTGTCTGAGAGGTTGGGAACCAGTCTACATACAAATAATCCACATCTGCCTGAGAGGCGGGGAACCAGTCTACATACAAACAATCCACATCTGTCTGAGAGGCGGGGAACCAGTCTACATACAAATAATCCACATCTGTCTGATAGGCGGGGAACCAGTCTACATACAAATAATCCACATCTGTCTGAGAGGCGGGGAACCAGTCTACATACAAATAATCCACATCTGTCTGATAGGCGGGGAACCAGTCTACATACAAACAATCCACATCTGTCTGAGAGGTTGGGAACCAGTCTACATACAAACAATCCACATCTGCCTGAGAGGTTGGGAACCAGTCTACATACAAACAATCCACATCTGTCTGATAGGCGGGGAACCAGTCTACATACAAATAATCCACATCTGTCTGAGAGGCAGGGAACCAGTCTACATACAAACAATCCACATCTGTCTGATAGGCGGGGAACCAGTCTACATACAAATAATCCACATCTGTCTGAGAGGCAGGGAACCAGTCTACATACAAATAATCCACATCTGTCTGAGAGGCGGGGAACCAGTCTACATACAAATAATCCACATCTGTCTGAGAGGCGGGGAACCAGTCTACATACAAACAATCCACATCTGTCTGAGAGGCGGGGAACCAGTCTACATACAAACAATCCACATCTGTCTGATAAGCGGGGAACCAGTCTACATACAAACAATCCACATCTGTCTGAGAGGCGGGGAACCAGTCTACATACAAACAATCCACATCTGTCTGATAGGCGGGGAACCAGTCTACATACAAACAATCCACATCTGTCTGAAAGGCGGGGAACCAGTCTACATACAAACAATCCACATCTGTCTGAGAGGCGGGGAACCAGTCTACATACAAACAATCCACATCTGTCTGATAGGCGGGGAACCAGTCTACATACAAACAATCCACATCTGTCTGATAGGCGGGGAACCAGTCTACATACAAATAATCCACTTCTGTCTGAGATGCGGGGAACAAGTCTACATACAAACAATCCACATCTGTCTGAGAGGCGGGGAACCAGTCTACATACAAACAATCCACATCTGTCTGAGAGGCAGGGAACCAGTCTACATACAAACAATCCACATCTGTCTGATAGGCGGGGAACCAGTCTACATACAAACAATCCACATCTGTCTGAGAGGCGGCGAACCAGTCTACATACAAATAATCTACATCTGTCTGAGAGGGGGGGGAACCAGTCTACATACAAATAATCCACATCTGTCTGATAGGCGGGGAACCAGTCTACATACAAATAATCCACATCTGTCTGAGAGGTTGGGAACCAGTCTACATACAAACAATCCACATCTGTCTGATAGGCGGGGAACCAGTCTACATACAAACAATCCACATCTGT